AGGTACCGTCGTGGGACGTTCCTAGGAGTTCTTTACTTGTCTAAAACACTAGGAAAGAAGGAGAATTAAAAAAATACCGAAAACTTTCTCAATTTTTTGGTAAAGTCGCATTTAACTTTCAATTTCATAATAATAACAATATAAGTTTACTATGTTTAGGGTTTCATTGAAGCTATAGGTGTTCATTGACACACCATCTAAACATTTGACTAAGTATCGGCATTACAAAGTGTTCAAATTATATAAACATACCTTCCCTCCAAGACCTCCATTTTGCTGGGCTTCGTCCACACATTTCATCATAGCTTCAAAAAACTGTTCACACTCATACCAGGGGAGATCAAGATGCTGGTATTCTATCTGACTGTTGTTCCTTTTGCTTGATTAGATCTAGACTTAAAGCCATTTGCAATTGCAATGAATGGTTGCTAACCATAATTTCTGGCTAGCTTCTTATACGCATTTTGGTCTCTCTCAATTCAGCATCGATAAGTCATTACGATTCCGCAACGTCTGAATCCGGATTAGTGGTTTCTTTTTGTATACTTTTGTTTTGTTTGTTGGTCTGTTTTGTCAGGCAAGACGTAATTGAATCAAATCGGTCTTTTTAAATGAAAAGTGATTTCTCCAGTTTTCTTTTTCATTCATCAAAATGAAATCAACCACTGGTGAATTTTTTAGGCTCAGATGAAAATTCATAAATATCAGAACTAGAAAATCAACGTCCACTTATAACAATAACACCAACACATAACGCCCAGACATAACAATAACATTTCATACATACCAATAACACCAAGTAACATAACACCAATACATAACAATAACACCCAGTAACATAACACCAATACATAACAATAACACCCAGTAACATAACACCAATACATAACAATAACACGAAGTAACATAACACCAATACATAACAATAACACCCAGTAACATAACACCAATACATACCAATAACACCAAGTAACATAACACCAATACATAACAATAACACCCAGTAACATAACACCAATACATAACAATAACACCCAGTAACATAACACCAATACATAACAATAACACGAAGTAACATAACACCAATACATAACAATAACACCCAGTAACATAACACCAATACATACCAATAACACCAAGTAACATAACACCAATACATAACAATAACACCCAGTAACATAACACCAATACATAACAATAACACCAAGTAACATAACACCAATATATAACAATAACACCAAGTAACATAACACCAATATATAACTATAACACCTAGTAACATTACACCAATACATAACAATAACACCCAGTAACATAACACTAATACATAACAATAACACCAAGTAACATAACACCAATACATAACTATAACACCAAGTAACATAACACCAATATATAACAATAACACCAAGTAACATAACACCAATACATAACAATAACACCCAGTAACATAACACCAATATATAACAATAACACCAAGTAACATAACACCAATATATAACTATAACACCTAGTAACATTACACCAATATATAACTATAACACCTAGTAACATTACACCCACACATAACAATTGATAACTACCAGTAACATAACACCAATATATAACAATAACACCAAGTAACATAACACCATTTTAACTATAACACCTAGTAACATTACACCCACACATAACAATTGATAACTACCAGTAACATAACACCCATGTATAATAAAACACATGGCATGTCAAAAGGTTCAATGAGCTGTATCCCTTGATTGACAATGTACAATGCTTTGTATCACTCAGCTGTGAAATTCCTTGTCAATGATAATAATACATGATCCAATGTTCCAGTCATTCACAGACGTTAATCATTGTTAATAGTCAAGGAACTCAACACAGCATGACAAGTGAGCCTTTGGATAAAGTCAGGAGGGACATATTTCAGTGAGAAAAATCATTATCGGTTTAACAGACAAGTAATATGGTACTACTTTACGCAAGATGAATTTTATTGAGAGGAAAATACGTTTATGTTCCATAAGCATGTTAAACTGTCATAAGTTGTATAAGAGGCTATAATACGTTATGACAGAGCGTTAAAAAATAATTAACAAATCATAGTACATTTCTCACTGGTCTTCACCTAGTTACCCTGACGATACGTCAGTGTATCATGGCGGAACAAATTCCGGGATTTGAATTCGGTAAGATATTTTTATCCCACCGAACGAAGTTCGAGGGGGATATAAAAAGCCGTCCGTTCGTCCGGCCGTCCGTCCATTCGTTTGTCCGGGCAATAACTTAAATACCGGTTGACGGATTTCATTCAAATTTTATAGGCTTAATGCCTAATATAATGGATGTAGGACCTCTGCTCGAGAAATTCAAAATGGCCGCCATTTTTCGTAAAAAACGTAATCAATTTGAACATGTAATATGTGTAATGTTTCAAAACTAAGAGCAATCAATGTACGATAGACATCACACTTAGATTGTAGTAACCCTCCGATCTGGTTACTTCAGGACACAAATTGATTACAACTAAATCAGAGTATTAATAAATAGCATCGATATGTGCGCCGTATCAAATACTCTTTGAGCCTCCATCAAATAATAAAATACACAACTTACTTGATGAATAATGATTCGACTTATATAAACAATGCCCTTCAAAACTGCAAATAAGATGGCAGGGAAACCAAAATGTAATTTAAGTCCATCTGGATCTTGAATATGTAATTGTAAGGATAAAGAAGAGAGGGGAATATGATAAATAAAGTGTATTATAAAACAGCAGTATGTAAACACAGACCAAATGTAGAAATTTAGAAAATACTCCACTTCCAACAAACATGAGTCCGAAATCGCCATTGCTCTCAACCATATTTACCAGGCACAAGGCCGTCCTTGACACGTTCTCACCATGAATAATTATTGTTTTAGAAAAACAAAGTGTAAAATGATGTTGCAATCAGCAATTATGAAACTAACTTCATTAATTAATTATCTGCCATAAATTCAAAAACGTAAACAGTAAGATTAACCTCATTTTCTTCTGGGCACCCTGACCCGTGATAAGTAAATATAGATAAATATGGAGAAATAAGCTAACTATCTCAGATTTGAACAATCAAGGATTTGTTTATTGCATGTTATATCCATTTGAAGTCAGATTTGGGCTCATGAGACCAATGATAAGGCTTTTCAGACACTTTGTTACTGCATAACCCTCGCTATAAGTCAAGAAGAACCCATAAATCATATTCTAATATCCCCTTATCTTGTTATAACCACCTATTAATGTAAGCGTTTCCAGTGATTTATAATCGTTTACACTAGACTTATTGTCTTCATAATTTGTTATTAAATGTTAATTTACCATACATCATTACAGATACACGTCAGAGTGATCATTCAGTCATGTATACCGGTATTTTTGGCCAAAGTATGTCAAATAATATGTGGTGTGTCATGAAGGGGCCATCATGTCAAAATGCGCCCAATTATAAAACCGAATAAATTCACTGCATGGCTTCAATTTAAGTATCGATGAAATAACTTTGTCCAGCGGTACTCCACAAATTGCACTATTGAAAAGGTAGAAGTAGAAAATATTTAAATTTAAAAGTTGGGTGATGGTCGATTGGAATCAGGTTTTATGTATGTAATCAACATGGAACATGTAAATAGTTTACGTTTTATTTTACTTATTTGTTTATCTTATGTGAATATAATTTCATAAAGATATAACGGAATGATTTGTTTTTTTGCTTTTTTACTTTTTGTAATCGTGATTTGAAAGCAGTTCAAAAGTATTTCGATAAATGGTAGAAAAAGTGATCAGAAATTTTGATTTTAGTGTCATTCATGAACTGAAATTTATAACAAACATACCTTCATTGCTCTAAGAATTCTAGAAGACCTCCATTACAAAACATATGTCAGCATTAACGAAAGTGTTCATTAGGTGATTGCGTTGCTAGCTAAACCTACATCAAAGCAGAACATACATACAAGATAAGAGAATGAAATAGCCTAGTTTACTATTCGAATGTTAACCATGTCAGTGTCTTGAGTCTGCATACAAAATGGTAATTGATTCGCTTAGAGTGGAGGTTAGAGAAACCTTTATACATTTTAATCAAACTGCAATGTAATTATTAATCGTAATGACGTTATTTTGACCTATTGTCATTTATTTTAGCTCTGGAGCTTTAATGTGAGCTTAACTAATAATGTATAAAAGTATGCCTGATTTTTTAATGTGAGAGTTTTATATTTATGTTGTTTTGATGTCTCCATTTCATTCAATTTCAGTCCACTTCCATAATTGTTAGTATTAGTTACGTATTTGTGATTCCCTTTCAAGTTAACGTTAATAATAGTATGAGACTATAAATGAATAAACACAAGGAGCACACACGTCTCGAACTTGCAACCTCTTGGTTACGGCGCCCAATCGCCTAGCCTGAACGTGCTGGCGCTATAAAATAGTGCCAAGTCCAACCGGCATGCCGTATGTAATTAGTCTGTTCTTAGAACCACGTGACCTTACGAGATGCTGTGTGCGTTAGGTCGTATCCTGGTTTGTTTCTTTGGTTGTGTTCTTCCATGCATTCTCCATACTTGTGTTTTTGTATTATTCTTTGATCTTCCACCCTTTGCAATATGATTCGTTATGGGTTAGCTCATCGTTTTTGGGATGGGGACTGTTTTCATTATGGAAGGTTTTGTTTTTAGATGTTCTTTTTGTATTCACCAAAAACTGAAATGTATACAACTAACAAAATCATATTTATCACTTTTTCATTAAGATGTTCTTTGTTCTTGTATTTTGTATGTACTTCGATACATATTTCTCCGTAATGCATTTGTGATTACATGTTTCCATTTTCAGTAGACTTATGCTCAAGAAGGAACCGAATCGCTTATTACTGTACGTCTGCAATACTCTTGTCAGAGTATCTTACCATACTTTTTCTAATAAATTGTCTTCTTGATTTGTTTACTTCCAGATTATTCAAGAACAAGGCGTTTCTTCTGGATATGTTCAAAAACTTTAAGGACCTAAAAGACTTTGATGAAATGCGTCAAGATGAGTCGCTCGCCAGGCATGCAGTCTACGTGATGGGAATAGTGGATGATGCAATCACGAAACTACATGACTTCGATTATGTTGCAGAGCTCATTACTAACACTGCTGTATCTCACGCAAGATTCCTCAACTTCAAGGCAGAATATTTCTGGGTAAGTTGTGGGTTAGCACGTGCAAGACCTTCATCCGGGTATTATCACTCGGGTGGAGTCGTGGTTTGAAATGGGCACATTTTTTAAAATGTTCTTGCTTCAATGATTGTTATTTACAACAACGCTGTATCTCACGCAAGATTCCTCAACTTCAAGGCAGAATATTTCTGGGTAAGTTGTAGGTAAGCACGTGCAAGACCTTCATCCGGGTATTATCACCCGTGCGGGGTCGTGGATTGAAAATGGGCAGATTTTTAAAACTTTCTTGCTTCAATGATTGTTATTTACAACAAGCCACGCTGTAGCCACGCTGTACTTCAGTTTAAAAAGAGGAGTCCGTTGTTCATTTATCATTTTGACTTTTCTTTTTCCTGAAGAGCGCTTACATGCACTCTTACATCACTAAGAGATTATAATACTTATAAAAACGAATTCCGTTACATACTAACTGCAAAAACCATTGGAAGGAGGGTCATTTCGTTTGGTATACGGAATATTTTATATCATTCTCCATTGTCAGTTGGTGGTGCTTACGTCGCATTCCATCATATTGAAAAATAATTTATTATTTTGATTTATGGGTGTAGGCTCAATAAGTTACTGCCATTAGATACGTACATTCATATGCTTATGATACGAAATCTAAACGCAATATTTTTGATACTTTTCATTTTTACTTTGCCATTTTAATACTCTTTCTCTTAACGTTCAGTCATTTATTAAGCGATTGTGTACCCCCCCCCCCCCCCGTTCATCTACATTGATTAATAAACGTCTGTAAATTAATATATACCATTTTTCTATTGTTTTAACCAGACATTTATTACTATAAAAATGCCAAGTAATCATAAATGTACATTAGGAATAGAAGCCGATTTCGAATTCCCTGTAAATCAAGTCGCTTTGAATTGGCTATGTCAATAATTCACCAGCCCACGTTAATGGACTCAAAGTGTGGCCCATGGCGAATTATGGTGATACTTATGAATCAAATAGTCATTTGAAGAAACAGAAGTCCTTATTGGATGATTCCATTAATATGGCCACTACAAGCCAATCACAGACCAACTTCTTCCTCCCCCGCATTCTATATATCATCGCTCTGTAGCTTTAGTGGTAGAGCACTCGACATGTTATGTAATCGGAAGCAATCACTAGAATGCCATTGAAATGGCAAGCATATGGGCAAAATTTAATTTTATCATGTGTTGTATCCCTTGGGTAAAGAGCTTTCCAAAGATGTATAACGCAATCATGTTTACTCGATATCACATTAACTCCTAATTCAATTTTATAAATAATATACATGTATTATGTATGACAATGAGTGTCTGGGGGATGAGATGTCCAGGGGATAAATTGTATAGGGGATGAGTTGTCTAGGGGGTGAGTTGTCCAGGGGATGAGTTGTCTAGGGGATGAGTTTCTAAGGGATGAGAAGTCCAGGGATGAATTGTCTAGGGGAGGAGTTGTCCAGGGGATGAGTTGTCCAGTGGATGAGTTGTCTGTCTAGGGGATGAGTTGTCCAGTGGATGAATTGTATAGGGGATGAGTTGTCTAGGGGTTAAGTTGTCCAGGGTTGAGTTGCCGAGGGGATGAGTTGTCTCGGGGATGAGTTGTCAAGGTTATGAGTTGTCTAGGGGATGAGTTCTCTAGGGCATGAGTTGTCTAGGAGATGAGTTGTCTAGAGGTTTAGCAATTGTTATCAGTTTTAGCTACATTTCTGTCAGAAAAAAAGCTTTTAGACGGCGCTTGTGACATCGCTGCGTTAGTCCAATAACTAAATTATGAACTCATACTTTGACGATCCCATCCCTATCATCCGATTATCATGATTGTGTTTTATTGATAGTAGTCGATCCGTATTACAATAAAAGAGATATTAACTAACAATCAAAAGTACTGCAATGTCTATCATGTGGATTTTATTCTATGTAACGTAAATGTTTATACCAATAAAATTAATCTATACAAGAAAGATTAATGTGTGACTTTCATCCAGTGTAACAAGGTTTATACAGGGTGTCAAAAAATTGGACCACCAATACGGAAATGCGTCTAATAGAGTTGTTAATCACTCTGATGTATTGATCTCTTGGTTTGTTCCCGTTTTAAAGTCCCCGTCTAAAGTTTGAAAATATTTTTTATCATTCATTTACTATTTGTCAGGACTTAAAAAGTGATTTTAGAGATTTTTGAACAAAACATTTTTTGAAAAAATAGTTGTGAGCATTTCATTTCTCAAATATTCAAATATGGCGCCATTTTTCAAATAAAGTTGAAATTTCTTAATCATCAAATATTTCTTAATGTATTTCAAAAAATATTATATTGTTAACACCAATGCAAAGATTGAACAAAAGACACACTATTTCAATAATAAAATGTCATATTTAATGGGCCACTTCAATGTTTTAGCTTATCAAAAATATTTTGAAACATTAGTGATGTCATTAAGGTAACAAAAACTTTTTATGAATTTCTTTTTCGATGTCAATCTTTTCTAAATATGCTACACTTTCATAAAAAACCAATGTTGATTGTCCAACCAGGTTAAAAGGAAGAATAAATTATGTTTTAGATATCATTGTACCATTGGTTTCTATGAGAACTAAAATTTTGAAATGCATTTTTCTCAGAACCATTTTCATGCACTGATAAGTTCATTTCTCGCTTGTTTATCAACTGATTTTCTTAATTTTTTCGGCAAAAAACATGGGAGGATGTATGCTATGCATTGGTATGAATTGTTACTAATTAGAAGATATGAGTGACCTCTAAAAGTTGGTTTTAAATTAATTCACAAATTTTGGAACAAAAAGTCTATCAAAAACCACTTTTTGAAATTAAAAAAAAAAGTTCCACATATCACACTTTGATAACATTGGGTAAGACTACAATATAAGCCAAAGTGGTTTAAACTTTACATGGGGCCTTTAACCAATTGAGACCTGAACAGTTCTTGGGGTCACAATATTGCACGGTTACGCTAAAGTACTCCCAAAACGTGTAAATTACCTCTCAAAACCTGGGTTTTGCAAAAATTTGGCCGATCACCCTGTATTTGTATCCTACATAAATGTTTCATCAGTAAGACTCTATAATGACTTCTGGTATGTACAGTAAATCCAGGGGTTGCACTGCGACGGTCAAGTTAACATCATTCAGTTGCCACATAAAGGTTAATATCAATATAAAATGATAAATATATTAATTTATTGTTATTGGTATCGTTACATCCAAATAAATGTAAATACAACTACTGTATTCATTAGTAACCGGTGATGAAATTCCCCTTCTACCGGATTTGATGAAAATACCTTTTCAAAACAGTAAGCATGTAACAAAAAATGTTCAATAAAATCAATTCCTTAATTTATAGTTCAAACATTTTTCATTTTTTGTATTTTAAAAACTGTTCCTGAAGATGGACATTACTTCTGTAAAATAGTTATAATATTAAGTATTTTTACTATCTAAAATGTATATCTAATGCTTTAAAAACCCATGCGTTTATCATTTTTACAGATATATTCCCTAAGGTATAACATTTCTGTAAAATATCGTTCTTTTAGTACTTTTAGGTATACTCTATGTATATCTTTTTCATATTTGAAAAAAATGTTCGTCAATATAGTATATAGTATGACGTGTCGCAAAAAACTCGTGCACGCATTGTTACACATTTTGTGGCGTAATCCAGAGGATCCTCGCTTTTAACATGATAGAATGTGACGTTTTTGAGAAAAATGAGCACTTATGGAAATCCTTTCGTCCTCCACATTTGCCTCTATATCTCAAAATATTTAAGGCGAATAAATCTGATATTGTATATGTATTAACAATGGGTTAGGAGCATCATAAAACACGAATCAATTGATATTTTAGGTGAAATAAATATACGCGTTGCTGTGCTTGAAAATAGGCGAATGGCGTAAATTAGCCCTATTTTAATGAATTTTGAAAACCTTTCGTCCTCCACTTTTCCACATACAACAGAAAACACATACTTTTGTGAACAAAATCAACTATTTATTAATAAACTACAGTTTAGGAGCAAAATAATCATGTATGATTTATTAAAAATTGATCTCGTATTTTTTGTTTTATGTACACCTGAAAAGTTGAAGGTACCAAAAAATGAGCAAAAAAGGTCGCTGTCAACAGATTCTATTTTTCAGACTCTATGACGTCACAATATGGGACGCTTACTAAAATTCATTCTTTGAAATAAAACTTCCATTTACCTTTACCAAGACGAAAAATAAGTATAATAGTCATATATTGTTTGAGTTATGAGCGTTTAAAGACGAAAAATAATTCAAAATGTAACGTGTCAACATGGGATATTTGCCAGATGTTTTGGTAAAAAACTCTTTTTTAAAAACGAACGCGCAAAAAATGTAAACGGAGTGTAGTTGATCTAAAATCTTCATCGAAACAGCTTTAAAATGATATATAACTTTAATTAGAATATTATCTTATAATCCGGGGAATCAAAGTTACATTCACGCGATACCCTTAAAAAACAAATGCGCCAACTTTTTGCGACACGTCTATATATTTCTCTTAACACTATTTTAAGAAATCTAAAATAAATTTTCTTCGTTTCAGTACTTAGAAGGCCCATTCCTCAAGGCAGTAAGCTATACCCTTCAGGACAGATACACGGATCAAATAGCTGAAATATACACTATAGCTCTCAAATTTATATTACAAGTTTGCGTTGACTCCTACATTGCTGCAGTTCCCGCAGCAACAACAGACGATACAACTATTGACATGAATAATCAAATGGATGAGTTAAACAATATAGAAGAACAAACGATAGTAGCAGTATCATGAGATATGTTTAATAATGTATATAAAGGAAACACATATGGAATTTTAGATATGTACGTGTAGCATTGTTTTCATGAAGATGAAGGGATGGTAAAGAGGAAATAGTGATACATACCGTAAATGTGGATTAGTGTCACGTTGCCATGCGTTGCTGCAGCACACCATGGTATAATTGATCATGATAGAAAGTGCCTCGGAGTGAATGTAAAATTTGATTACATTGGATTATTACGTTTCACTAAATTCCCATCGGTTATCTAATTTGTGTTAGAAATGGAAACATTGAGGCTGAAACGTACAAACAAGGCCTACAAAGGGAAGATGTAATACACTGCATTGGTATAAAGAGACATACATTCAATCGTACATACTGAGATTTTTATTAGACCTGAATTACTAGAATAGTAAGCGTGTGATAAATAGTATGAAAATCGAGTCAGATCAAACGCTTCTCTTGAATCAGGTTTACACGTTTATTAATGTGTAGGTATCGTTTTTTAGAAAAAACAATAAGCAATCGTTACATGACAACTGTCGCATTTATGTGCCATAAGAGGACCGGGAAATTTATTCCGACAATCGTAGGGCAAATGTGATAAACTATTGCAGCCATGGCATCATGGGACCATCCAGGGACGTACGATAACAACAACATTAAAATCTTTTAACATATCGTCGCCTGATTATAACCTATTCTAACTCACTTATTTGTCATTTGTTTGAGTAGAAGTTCTTTGAGTTTAATCTTTAGCTTCTTAGGGTATTTTACAGTGCAATATGATGGAACATCTACACTACTTTTTGCTACATTGAGATGCACATTAAATTGACAAAATTTACTAAACACAATTTCTCGAATCTCTCATCCCAATTAATAGCTACATTTAGCGGGTGCTTTTGGAAGTGTAAAAAGCATGTGGTATATGATAAGGCCTACGATTGCATGAGACCGCCAAGGAGATAATCCAATCTCTGGTTCAAATTTGTTTTCTGATTGCAGTAGTCACTGACACTCCTACTACATATTTTTAAACAATTACTGCCATTGCATATTGACATCTACATGTACAGTATGTTGTCATACATCTACAAAGAAGCACTGTGTTTGATGCACTACTTTTTGTATAAAATGACCAAAAACAACATGAGTACTACTAGTTGTGTTGTGCTTATAGTATGTAAAATAATTAATGATTTGAGTCTATGTAAAGTTCACGTGATATGTTATCTTGGGTTGAAATGTGAAGAAGAAAAAAAAGAAAAAACATCTTCGTAATTTTCTATTCGAACTGTAATGTGATTATTCTCAACATTGGAGTAAGAATATGGTTTTCCGAATTCTCAGGCGACGATTGGAGTCTTAACCAAAATACCATCTATATTTTGACTAAGGTCAATAAATATACATATATTGATCTACAGCTGCATCATGCCATACGCACGCAACTAGCAAAACTAAATTTAAAGTTACTTCTCAAAAGTACATTTAATAATCGTGGCAATCATGTCTACACAGATGCTATCAGCTGATTGTGGGATAGTATTAGTTGCTAAATAACATTCACCTAAACAGAATGACTTGGAGGAATAACCTTTTTTTCAAATGACGCTCAAGGTCAACTACAAAATACGTATATCTAGTCAAAGAGGAGAGAAATGGCACACGTCGATTTGATGTTTTATAATCGGCGTAAACTGTCTCACGTCTTTATCTTTACGTGAAATAACAAGCTATAATATTCGGTACATATGCCAGAAATTAATATATTATTCGAAGGGTTTTTGCAAATTTTTGAATCCGTCATTTTGTTTCGTTAGCTCTTTATCGTTTGACCAATCAGCGGTGAGGGGCATCTCGATATAAATGTCCATTAAAGTTGAGATCATATTCTGGATTTCCTTCCTCTTATCTTTCCAATTATATTTCATTGATGTAATCACGTTGTAGTCACGTGGAATCACGTGTCACATGTAGTCACGTCATGTATGACTGCATCTGTACCCCAAATATTATTGCAGTACCTCGATACTTCAGAAGACATATATGTGTAATCAAAATGCATAGACGCTTATCTTGCATATACGTAAACACTGCACGTTCTAGTCAAAGAGCATGAAAATCAGTTGACTGACAAATTCAAATCGTCATATAACTACGGCTTTTATAAAATGTAATTAACTTTTTTTCTATGTTTTATCATCTACATTTCTAGTGCAAATATATGTGAATGCATATACGTCTGACTCGATCAGTTCTGTTATTGTGAGTCACGTTGATTTAGCAGAAGTTATCCAGGGCTCCCTCATACTGCACACCTCTTGACTCCTAACCATATACAGTAAAACCTGTATACATTGAACACCTATGGAGCCACTAAAATGTGCTCACTGTAGGTGAGTGTTCACTACAAAGTTGGTAATCTACACATAAGTCAGTGGGGTATGTGCGGAGGAAGGGTGTCCTTTAGGGTAGGTGTTCACTAGAGAGAGGAGTTCACTAAGACAGATTTTACTGTAATTACACATATACAATTATGATAGACAAGAATGCCAAATCAGTTACTTTAGAGCATTTTGATTAATAAAAAGTATTTTAACGGAATAGAAGCGCTTGAGCTTCTCTAAAATGCCAAATTGTCAAAAGTTGGTGTTAAGCTTAATTACGGGCAGATAGTGTGGACGAGTGTGAACGATGTAACAATGTCGAGAATTAATGTCATTCAAACTTATGATTTCCGATTCTGACATGTTCGGTGTTGCGGATTAAAACAATGCTTTGTTTTCTCTTACGTTAATAGTACTCATGATAAATGTTTTTAAAAAGGCTAATGGCGTAAACAAATACATTAGTTATAATGTGTCAAGATCTATCTTCAACAATGAAGAATGAGTGAATGAAGCCTTTTCATGTTTGAACTGTGAAATGATGTAATTAATAAAGCAGATTTCAACAAAGGATATCCTTTCTTTTGCACGTAGACATTCTTTTAACAGGCTTTGCAATGTCATCGTGGTACAAATAGATAATTAAAGAATACCTCAGAAGAAGACAAGAGCTCTTAGAAATATTAGGTATTTTGATAAGGCTACACTCCCCTCCAATAGTTTGTCAATCCTGGCTCAACGTTGAATATACAGGGTGTGCCACCCACATAATGTTGAATAACTTTTGTCGGAACGATTCTTGACTTTTGCACATTAAACTAGACTCCGTGGAGCAACTCTACAAGAAGTTTCAGATGACTTTAGACAATCTCAACTAGGTTCACATTTTAGTTACGTAACAAGATATGCTCTAAATGCCGTCCATTCCATTCCAGGCACACTTCTGTATTCTACATGCAAGGTGATTGACCACACTCGCCTGACATGTTACCCTCGAGTTTTTATCTCTGAGGGTACCTGAAGGATCATAGTGTATGTAACAAACCTCCAAAACATGGAACACTTGAAGATAGAGATCACCATAGAGATCATGAATACGTTAGAGTAGTCAATAACTTTGCCAATAGAATCCAGGTGTGCCTACAAGAAGACAAGAAGACCTGCGGGCGTTTCCAATGGGCAAATCCCAAATCACTCGAAAGGAGTGGTTAAAGCGGTCTAGCATGATTTTTAGTGATTTTTGACAATATTCCATATCTTTTTGTCCAAGATAAATATCTTACCTTTCTGGGAAGGCAGGCTATGTCCCCTAACTCTGTGGATAAATAGAGAATTCTCAATTTAAATTGAGAATTTATTTTCAGATAATTTACCACAGAAATTCCTTGTGCTCCATTAAACAACTTTTGATGACATCACACAAAATGGGGAATTCCCTCTCAGTTGTTCTTTAGATTTATCAAATTCATATTATGGGATTAAGAGACATAGCCATGTTGCCCAAACCCAATAGTAGGAAAAAGGAGGATCTAGAGTCCATGAGAAAAGCAAATATACTGCTGCTATACGGTTTGTGGTAACATGACTAGATTTGGGGATTTCCCTTTCTCTTACTTTTTGCCAGGTAAGAAGCAGGTATTTCATCCTAGAATTGTGATTCTTAATGACCTATACCATGTCTGGGCCTTCATGTATATGTATTTATTTACCCAGTGATTGATTTAGTAATTCAATTTGGGTAGAAATAGGTCCAAATAACATTGCTAAGTAGCTTTATATTTTATCTATCCCACATCATTTGAGACTGAATACTATATCTTTTATGAGTACTAGTATCTACAACTATTGTTGATGTTATTAGTATTGGCTATCAATTTTTTCAATTTTTCTTCAACATGTATTTTAATGACTTCAGTATGAATGAAATGTCCCTTGGTGTTCTGGTCCTGGATTGTGATATTGGTTCTCGATTGGAGGAGGGGAGGGGGATGTTAGACATTGTTTCTTTTCACGTTAGATTATGGTTTTGGGATATATAGGGTCTACTTTTCTTATGACAGATTTACACTTACAATTTGCTTTTCTTGTTAGGTTTCTTTAAAGTTTTTAGTCACCCTTCCCTTTGGCATTTGTGCTTATATATTTAACACTTGGTGTGGCATAAAAGTTATTGAATCCCTTCAGAGGTTCTCCCACACTATTGTCATTCAGGATCAATTACCAAACGTATTGTGGGTAGTGTAAGTGTGTTTACATGTACGTAAGTCTCTAACGGGGCTAGTTTTGTCGTCCCGTTTTACCTGGTACACCATACCTTTTGATTAGAAAGTCACTTCACTAGTTTGTCTTTATATTGATATCATAATTTGTCAAGCAAAGTAAAAAAAGCAAAGCATAAATGTTATGGTAATTACATTTAATATCGATCATTTATAAGATATATTAGTCATCAAAGGAGGTCAAAGTGACCTCGAACAATCATCACACTGGTTGTTGAGAAATCTTTCATCTGACTGAGGAGCTGGCTATCGTAGTCGGTTAAACTTCAAAGGAAAAGTAACAAAGGGAATGAAACAAATATAATACGACACAAAACAGACGCATCCTATCTACGTACATACCGTAGAAACCTTTTAGGATATTCAGTTGATCATAAAATAACTTTTTCCATCATAATTGTTTAAATAGCAACAGATCTCATGTACACAGATCTCATCTAAGCTTGCTGGCCAACTAAAGAGTCCTTATACTTGATATCACCAAAGCTCGAAGGTCATAGATTTAATTTTAATACGTTCTTTGATACATACCAAGATGGAATCAAAGATGGAGACAGCATCTAAACGCGAGCATCAGTACAATGAACTAATTTCCGCAAAATGGAAATTAATGGACAGTAGCCCAGAAACCCATTAATGGAAATCTCGTAAAATTTAAGAATTCTTTATCAAATTGTTGCAATTATGAGTATGATGACATGATAGTAAGAGTTACAATTAACTAAGGAATTACAAACTTTACCCCCAGATGATTATTACAAAATATTAATGCAAATCACGTTGTGTGATCCCGTTACACATTCTATCAACCCTGTAGAGGAATACGAACATCCGAACATCAATATTCCATCAATCTATTTGATGTTTCAAAATCAGTTTATGATTCTGACATCTTGTAAAAATGATATTAAGGACTTAAAATCGCAACTATTGAATGCTTCTGTTTCCTAGGAAGTAAAATAAGATCACCTGATTTAAAATAATAGCATTTGACATTTCCTTCGCTGTTAAAAAATATCGTTAAGTACTTGGAAACGGATGCTTATGGCCAATTTCAGGGCCCGCTTGTTCCATTGAAAGAAAACTGATGTCATCCATCAAAAAGATCACTTTGGAATCATTCACTCAAGATGATATAATGCTTGAGTTGAAAATAGTCTCCTCTTATCTTGTATCCATTTCAAAGTCATCAATTTTGAGCACTTCCTCTTAACCTCTTAAATACGAAGGGCGACTTAAAAGGAGTCACCGTTTTTTTTCACTTAAAGGATTTTACTTTGACAGTATCTACTCGATCGCCATTTACAGAAATACGTTTTTAACGTTTATACAGGGCGTTCAATAAGTATTGCTAATACTAATATAACTTTTGTTCTGTTTGCTTTTTCTAATGAAAACTTGCCAGATACCATTAATCATGTGTATCGTCACGTATTGCATCACCGTGTGAATCATTCACATGTTATTATTGCGTAAGGCAGACTTTCTTAGATTATCTAGCTTCACGAATAAGCTCATGTCATGTTTCTCATTGTTACAAGATATTCCGAGGGATCTATGTATTATGCATTACAATTTCCCAGTCTGAATAATAAGTTGTCTGACTTTACAATCAACACGAAATAAAACTGTTGGACGTTTCCGGTTTCCTGGCATATATATAATGTGGCCAGGTAAAAAAGTTTAATTTTCTTATTCCATCAACAAGTCAGTAGTGTCAATCTTATAATATATACATAGAAAATTGAAGTGTAGTGGGATTTAGTGGAAGTTGATTTCGAGGAAACTCAACAAAAATGTGACTTCTCTGCAAAATGATGCCGTTTAAATATAAAATGACCCTTTATATACTAGATAGTATGATCCTGACTCATTTGCACATTCGGGGACAACAGTATGTCCAAATATCTTAATTTCATTTTCTGTTGTAGAAAATACAATATTGCCGACTGGAACCTGGGATTCGGAAAATACTTTTTAAGACAGCCATAATTTTCAGTTAAAAACCAAATAGTTCTATGTTGAACATACTTGTCTAACCGATTGGATTTTAGACACAACAGTTGATCCGACAGAATTCGGTCAGTTGCCTTACTTTTTTCGCTTCTCGTTCACGTATTATAGTAAGATAATTGTTCAGACAGATTTCGGTAGGTAGGTTTTCTTCAGAACAAATGCACAAAACAGAATACTTCGAAACGTTAGTACGTTACTAGCACACCGTATATCACATTAGAATGTCTTGAAAATCAGAACAGCATTTTGATTGTATGATATAAATACGAAAAACTATTGGTTTAATTTCCATTTTCGTTGGATTCTGATAGATAATTCTAGTAAATGAATCATCTTTTTGAATACAAAAGCATCTTATTTAAATGTGAGGGCACATTGAACTTGAGGAAATTAATGTTCAATTGGAAAATATTCCATACAGTATATACGAGCGATAATGTGTAAAGCGTAACAGAAACCTCAGATTACCGCCATTATTATCGATGCAGTAAATTCTAAAAAGGATGTATGTTTAAATTGATTAAATTGCATTTATTTCAAATTTTTTAGAATATAATTACTTACATAATGCATTTTCATATCAAATGAGAGAGAGTTTGCAATGCAAATCATGAAATGATATTCAAGCTATCATGAAATGGATGATATAATTAGAAGATGAGCATATACAAGCAAATCAATTCTAAAAGTAAAAGTGCATAAAATGTCTATATTACGTTATTATATTAAGGGTGACATCTATAGAAGCAGAAATTATCTTTCTGCAATAATAACAATACACTTGCGTGCAGTGGACTCAATAAATGTCAAACCCCATATATATGGCTGGCTATCTGGCCATGGACCAATGTATCGTGATACTTTTATCGCAGTAGAATTTACTTTTAACGCTGTGAAACTTACTTTTAACGCCAAAAAATCGTTTAAGCTTCATCAAGATTTCTAAACCGAAACATTCATTCAAGAGCAAGGGCCAGTATGACTACAGTTGTCATATGATTATTTAACTTTCATGCAAATTTCATGATTTGGGTCTAAATTATATGAGCACGGGCATTCAGAGTCGCATGACTAATTGCTGGGTTTGACACAGTGCACTATCATGAGTTCAGTGCAATACGGGTACTTCTTATCAAGTGCGTCTTGCACAAAAACGTTTGATTTACAATTTTGTTTGGAAAGCAATTGAAACTTTTTCTTCTCTACTTCCTCAACAATGGGAACCATTTCCCTAATAAATTCATCTTGTAAAGCAGAGGGAATCTGATTCTGAAATTGCGTAAATAATTCAAAAACATTTTTCAGAAAATAGTAAAGATCATTTGGAAAATACCAAGATTGAACTTTTTTACATGTTTTTACTTGGAATCCTACTTCTTCAAGACGTTCTGAGAAAAGTTTCTTGTCACACCAAATCATTTTCTCGATATTTTGATTCGCACATGTTATGACCTCAGACTTAGTTGCACCTTGAAAATATCTTCTCCATTTGTCTTTCTCCATCAAAGTAAGAATTGCAGTTTGTTGACCCTCCACTTGTAAAAAGTATGATGCTCCAAATTCACCTCCTGGTTTAAGGCTCTTGAAGACCTGCTTCATAACAGTTTCCTGGTCCAGTATCATATCTAAGCATTCATTCGAGAACACCTAAAAGTAAATCCAAGATCAATCCCAATATCATTTAAAAGTTATAAGTAACCTAAATCAACTCTCGAAATCATCTGAAATGTGACTTCTGGTAGCAAAGTTTATGGGAATTAATGGTTGCAGAGTGTATATGGTTAAACATAGGTCAATTCCATATAAAAAATATGCTAACACTTACTTACATTGAATGAAATTATAAAGAATGATAAGGATATCGAAAATGTACCTTATCATACTTGTTCTCCCAGGTTGTTGGCCATTCTTTTGTTACATCCAACTCTACGTACGTTATATCAGGGTCAGCATTCTCCTTCCTAGCATAGTCAATACAAGGACCTAAGATGTCACATGCTGTAATGTGTTGTATTTGATCACTTTTAGAAAGCAACATCTTAGTTACATCACCATTGTTGCATCCAATATCTAGTATACTGTCCTCCAGATAACTCCAACGCAATTCTGGAAATATTCCCCAATTTTTGCATTTACTACACTCAGTCAGGTATATGATTAAAGATTCTGGTTATGTGGTTCACAAAACGTTGTTAAAAGCTTTATATACAATGGAGATCATATACAATGAAGATCAAATGGTATGGTTCCCTGAATATGTATAGTTTATAACTGTATAAAAGCCCCCCCCCCCCCCACCCCTCCAACTTGCTTCACAAAAAATCCCTGGGTCACCATTTCCTATTGTGATGTCTTCATCAAGCATTGTTCTCGCCAAAAGAGAGTCTTACCTCTAGGTCAATGGTAAATTAAATATATTAAGTTCATGTCAAAGGAATTATTATTAATATCAACATTATTAATATCATGAAAGAGCAAGGTTAAGTTACAGGGTAGTGTCAACTGGGGATATAAACATAATGAAATGTTTATAACATTTGAGTGCCCTCAAAGTGACCATGGTTGAGGGTTTTTCACAATGATCTACCTTTAAGTAAAGCATCTGTATTTACTATTTGGTTTGGTGTTGCGACTTCAGCATATAGTTCTGGATTAGGAATGAACTCCCATCCCTCTTCCCTTATGGCATATTCTGTGAGTACTTGTGGAAGATCCATTGCTTTCAATACACTGAGGGAGCACCACTAAAATACACCAGTTTTTGAATATATTTCATACAGTTTTTGTTTATCAATATTCCCCATACATGTACCCCATACCCATACATGTATGTTAGGTTTAATAAATGTGTGATGTGATCTTTGACTTAATATCATAGAGACTTTAATTTAATATGGTGTTTTAATTAGAATTGATCTCAGATAGATTTTCCATTTATAGTCGTGAACTTACAAATGACTCCTGTGTTTTGTAGAGTAATACTGAAAATTGTGTGAAGAATAAATTTAATTTCTAGATATCAAAAATAAATGAAGTGTAAAATTAGAGTAATACTGAAAGTTGTGAAACTAATTAATACTTTTATTTAATATTTAGATATCAGAATCAAGAAGTGTAAAATTGAAATAAAAAAGTATTTACCTGGTTGTTAAATGAGTCCTGTGATATTAGAGTTGTTGAAATTTCATCGACTTTGACAATAATGTCCCGATGCAGTCTTGGCTATTGTAAATCGATCTATAACCACCACGAAATAACCAGCTGCATGAAATAATAATAAGTAAAATACCGGTTTATTCATTTCATCTATCATAAAACGATAGATGACATTTTAGGAAGCCTGTTTTGAAGGGGTTAATACAAATCATAAAATGTCCCGACTACTTGTTAATTAGTATTTATAGGTGGCGAAGTAGAAATGAATTTCATAAATTGAAAATTGTAAATGAAGGTCACTTTCAAAAAATATATAATAAAACTATGTATACTGCGATGATTTACAGTTTTCCTACATTGTATCGTGAATCGGCAGTTTGAAATTATACTTGTGTAAGCTCAATGACCTAGAAAATTTTGAGAAAATAATATTTATAAATCGATCTACAGTAAATAAGTCTGCATTGCTATAACCCATTTAGTGTACGTCAAATAAGTTGTTTATGATATACTGCGCATTGCCCTCATTACAAAAATGAATGGAACAAAGCGTGATTTTTTCTGTGGACCTGTTTTCTAAACATTTTAAACATATTTAACCACTTGTATGAAGTTCTTGGGCTTGGCCTCATGAGAATAGCCTCTCTTGTAGAGGATGATGAAACGTAAGATACAGTTAGATGCATGTACTTTTCAAAATATTATGCTTTGACTGTGTAGGAAGTCTACTGGAAATGTATTGAATTCATAATGACTGCTCTAAACATATAATGTAAAATTATAACTTGTTTATTTCATGGATTAACATGTCACGATAGATAATTAATGTCAAATGAATTGTATAACGCACTCCAAGGAATATACATGAAATCCTCTCACGGGGTGCGAAGGAAACCCTATGTTTTTTTAAAAGCAGGGCACGACTGCTTTTAGTTCGTTCGTAATTCCCATGTGGTCCAAGCGAATATCCTGAATAATATAGTCTTTACTATCCATTCGATCCTGGGAGAAATTGTTTTCTCTATTTCAACGCCATCTTTATGATAAATGTTGTTTTCATCCGACTGAGGGAGAAAGAGTCGAAGGCAAATATACAAAGCCGGCTTACAAAGCCGGCTTTTAAACCCGGCTTTTAAAGTCGGCTTCTACAGTACATCAGAAGCCGGCTTCTGGCGTCACCAAGAAGCCGGCTTTTAAAAACCGGCTTCGAATGACTTAAGAAGCCAGTTTCTGCAGTTACCAAGAAGCCAGTTTTAAAAGCCAGATGCTCTCTCTCAATCATTTTGTTGTGCATTATGCATCTTATTCTCGTATAATTAGCATGGAAATGAGAAAAAAATGAAAATAAGTAAAATTGTAACATATTGCAAGATTTTTTGCAAAAAGTAATTTCAAACCAAAACTATGGGGGACATTTAATTCTAAGTAAAAATATCGATGAATTAAATCATGTTCGTTAAATAAGAATAGATTATGCATTGCATTTCTGTTTGATAAAAACGCATCGCTCATTTTACAAAACTGGCTCCAACTTGGAGCCAGTTTACAAATCAGCTCGCTTCATCTTACACAACCTATGTAGGGACAATCTAGCAACTGGGAATCACGGGATACTGTTTCATGATAATTGTTATGTGCATTATGCATCTTATTCTCGTATAAGTTGCATGAAAATGAGAAAAAACTGAAAAATACGTAAAATTGTAACTTATTTCAAGATTTTTTGGAAAAAGTCATTTCAAGCCAAAACTATGAGAGAAAATTTATTTCTAAGCAAAAATATCCATGAATTAGATCACGTTCACTAAATCAGAACAGATTATGCATTGCATTTCCGTTTAATAAAAACGCACCGCTCAGTTTTCAAAACTGGCTCCAACTTGGAGCCAGTTTACAAATCAGCTCGCTCCATCTTACACAAGCTATGTAGGGGCAATCTAGCAACTGGGAATCACGGGATACTGTTTCATGATAATTGTTATGTGCATTATGCATCTTATTCTCGTATAATTTGCATGAAAATGAGAAAAAAACTGAAAAATACGTAAAATTATTGCATATTTCAAGATTTTTTGGAAAAAGTCATTTCAAGCCAAAACTATGACAGTAAATTGAATTCTAAGCACAGATATCGATGAATAAGATCACATTCATTAAATCAGAATAGGTTATGCATTGCATTTCCGTTTAATAAAAACGCACCGCTCACTTTTGAAAACTTGCTCCAACTTGGAGCCATTTTGCAAATCAGCTCGCCCCATATGACAAATGCTATAGTAGGTACAATCTGGTAACTGGGAATCACGAAATACTATCTCACGATTATTTTTATGTGCATTATGCATGTTATTCTCGTATAATTTGCATGAAAATGAGAAAAAACTGAAAAATACATAAAATTGTAATATATTTAAAGATTTTTTGCAAAAAGTCATTTCAAGCCAAAACTATGAGAGAAAAATCAATTCTAAGTAAAAATATCGATGAATTAGATCATGTTCACCAAATCAGAACAGATTGTGCATTGCATTTCCGTTTAATAAAAACGCACTGCTCAGTTTTCAAAACTGGCTCCAACTTGGAGCCAGTTTACAAATCAGCTCGCTCCATCTTACACAAGCTATGTAGGGGCAGTCTAGCAACTGGGAATTTTTTTTTTTTTTTTTTTTTTTAATTAATTTATTTACATTGAAACAACATTTATACAATTTTTACATAATATACAATGGTTACATTGGTACTTATACAGGAATACAGAACTTATTGGTTATAGATTTTACTATTTCTAATTTTCCAAATTTCAAACTTGTGTTTAAACACTAGCTGGTTTCTATGGCATTTGCTCTCAAAATCTCCTTCATTGCTATAAAATAAAATTTCTTGTTCAGAAAACTTTAAATTTTGAGTATTTACATATTCCTTTGCATTCGTACAATTGACAAATAAGTGTTTATGACTTTCTGCTTCAACATTGCATATTTTACAAATTCCATTTGACTTCTGAATTTTTTGTAATTTTTTTTCTGTCCATATGGCTCCATTAAAACATTTAAATATAAATTCTTTAACATTATTGCTAATGTTACATTTAAACAAAATCTTGTAAAAATCTGAGAAATCCGTTTGAGCAAACTGCTCAGACCAATACTCTTCTGATTTGGATTCTGTTAAACTGTTTTTTACAAACCCTTTTCTTATTGATTGCACATTGATTTTCTGTACAGGAATACAATTAAAATATATTTTGCTTTCACTGTTTTTTAATGCCTCAACCTTGATTCTGTCTAACTTGTTAAAAACTCCTTTAAGTAAATTGTATTGAAGAAAAGTCTGGCCATTAAAACCTACTTTTTGCCCAATTTGATCATAGCTTAATAGTTCATTGTTTACATTACAAACATCATTTATTTTATACACACCTTTTTGATGCCAGTTATCAAAATATAAAGGATTGTTCTTGTACAACAAGTCTTTGTTATTTGATATATATGGACTACTTTTAACTGAATTATACATAATCCATGTTTTCAACACATCTGTCCAAAATGAGGACTTAATTCTATCTAGTCCTTTTACCTGATTAAATTCAACATTAGACAGTAAAATAGAAAAATCTTTACAAATTTTGTCAATAAGATAGGTTGGTAGTTTTTTCCAGTTTGCTTTGTTTCTATCAAGTAGAAGTTTAATCCATTTAATTGCAAAAGCATCTTGAAAATGTTTCACATCTATCATATTTAGACCTCCATTTGCATTGCCCTGTATCAATATATTTCTTTTAATACATTCTACTACACCTTTTACATCTTCTTCTTTATACACACCTTTGTTACCTGACCAGATATATTTAAAAAACAAACTATTTATCCGTTTAATAATCTTATCTGACAAAATAAAACTTTGCATAATGTATCCAAATTGTGAGAGCATTAGTGATTTTACGAGAGTAATTTTACCAAACATGGTTAAACATCTACCTGCCCATCTTTTCATTATTTCTTCACATTTTTTGAATTTACAGTCAATATTCTCATCTAATTCAACCACCTTATTGGTTGTGCAAAATGTTACGCCTAATATTTTAATCCTATTATTTGGGAAAATATTCCATTTGATGTTTACTGGTTTTTCAACACAAAATTTTTTATTGCCTAACCATATTGCTTCTGATTTCTGTTTATTTAATTTTAACCCAGATATATTTGAAAAGGCATCAATAATATTGATTGCCTCTTTGACAGATGCAACATCTTTAAGTAAAAGTGACATATCATCAGCGTATTGAACTAGTTTAATTTCATCTGTTTCAGATATTACAATACCTTTCACATTATTAGTCTGTCTTATTTTACATGCCACTAGTTCACAGCATAAAATAAAGCAAAAAGCAGATGCAGGGCACCCTTGAGATAAACCTGACTTTAGTGGTATCCACTCGGAGAGCCAACCTCCAAAATTAATGCAGCTTAGCCCATTTGAATTAAGTGTTTTTATCCATTTGATAAAATCAGGACCAAAACCAAAAATTTGGAATGTGTCATACATTAACTCTTTATTTAAACTATCATACGCACGGGAATAATCCAGTGCTACAAGTACACCTTCATCGTCATTGTTACATAAATGTTCTATTACATCATCAATAAGTCTTAAAGCAGTAGCTGGTGTGCGACCTGGTATATATCCACATTGATCATGACTAATTATTTTTCCAATTACTTTTCTGAGCCTATTTGCTAATGATTTTGCTAAAATTTTATAATCAGTGTTTGTTAATGATATTGGTCTCCAACTTGGTAGACACTCCATTGGCAGACCTTTGCCTTTATATAATAAAGTAATTACTCTTTGTCTTTGGGAAGTAGACAACTGTCCATTATTAAAACAATCATTTATAGCTGATACTTAAAGTTTATTTATCTTGTTCCAAAAACATTTATAAAAACATGTAGTGAGTCCATCAAGACCTGGACTTGAAGTATTTGACATATTTTTGAGTGCCTGAGTACATTCAGCTAAAGTTATTTGTCCTTCACAAGATTGCATTTCCTCTTCATTTA